TGAAGCTGGTGGCCAGGTTGAAGGTTTTGGAGCAGAGGGTGCACCTGTAGGGTTTCTCCCCGGTGTGCGTGTACCTGTGGTCCCTCAGCTGCTCCTTCAGGCGGTAACTTTTCCCACAGACGTCACAGGAGAATGGTTTCTCCCCAGTGTGGCTCCGCTTGTGGATCTTATACTGCGACGGCGTGGGGAATTTCTTACCGCAGGCGTTGCAGGTGATGACGGCGTCCCTTTGCGGCAGCTCGTCGGAGGGCAGCTCATGTGAATGTTTGCTGATGACGTGGTTCTTCAGGAAGCGGAAGCTCTTGCCGCAGATGGAGCAGAGCTGCCTCTCTCCGGTGTGGACGGCCTGGTGTGTGCGCAGGTTTTCGGCCTGGGTGAAGCCCTTTCCGCAGGTGGAGCACTGGTACGGACGCACTTCCTGGTGCACCAGTTTGTGGCGCTTCAGGTGGCCGCTGTGGTAGAAGCTCTTGCCGCAGACGTCGCAGGTGAACGTCTTCTCAAAGTGGGTGAGGCGGTGCGTCTTCAGCATGCTGATGCAGGAGTAACCCTTCCCGCAGATGTCGCAGTGGCAGGTTTTCTCTCCGGTGTGCCGCGCCTTCACGTGCAGGTCGCGGTGAGCTTTGTGGTTGAACCTTTTGGGGCAGTAGTCGCAGGCGTGCGGCAGCAGCCCGTGCTCTTGGATCACGTGTTCACGCAGCATCACGATGCCAGTTAACACGGCGCCACACACGGAGCACACGGGGTGGGACTTCCTGTGGTGGTCTGAGAGTCGCTCTGTGTTTGGAAACATCATCCCGCACTGCGAACACTGACACCAACCTTCTCCTGTCGCAGTCTGAAGCCTGCTCGGCTCTCCTCTCTTCTTCCTGCTGCAGCGCTGTTTCCTGTGGCGTGCTGCAGAGACTCTGGACAGCAGTGAGGGCGGACGAGCGTACTCGTGGTCGGGGACATCAGCCTGCGGGGTAGGGGAGGAGGAGGCTTCCCCTGGTGCATCCATGGAGACAGTTTTATTTTTACCTGCAAACAAATAAACTTGAAATCATCGTTTTAAAATGTGTGACTGGTTTTTGGCTGAATGGGCGGAGTCAGAAAAACTCACCATTAGCATCAGCGTTAGCATTAGCATGGCTCTGCAGAGGCAGCAGCAGACACTTTGAGTCGACAGCATTGCTCTGCAGGACAGACAACAGTGAGAGGAGGTGACTTGATTCAGACCTTCACTCTGTCACTGTGGAGTCACTCACTCACCTCATAAACCAGGATGTAGGTCTGTCCTGTGGGGGGGCGCTCACCACCACGGCCTCCACCTGAAACACACAGGAAACACTGAACACATTCTGTGACATCACCTGCTGTCAAACACAGGCCTCGCCATCAGTGATCAATGTGACGACTGGTTGAACATGGTGAGAAACGTTGGTCACAGTGAGCCGGAGCCCAAACTCAACACGTGGCGGCATGCAGCAGTGCAGCAGCTTCTCAGCTACCTGCGACTGACGTAACGTTATTTATTCTGCACGCTGTCCTGTACTCTACTGTTTTTATACATGTTTGAAAGACAGTAAACTGAACCTTGAACCCTCTGACTCTGTGTTCAGGCTCTGGACCACATGTTTCAGAGACGAAGAGAAAATGATGCTGATAGTTCAGCCTTCCAGGCAGCAAAAACCCCAGCTCCGGGGGGACCGGACAGCCCCAACTCCCTGCAAGATCAGCAAACTTTCTGTTGCTGCTGTTACCAGGTTAGCCCTGATGCTGCTGGGGGCCACCAGCCTGCTGTCACACCTGATGCTGGGGGGTTTGAGCTGGGAGCTGGCTGAATTTGAGCCACTACAGCCACCGACTTAAAGTCCAACTCTGGAGCTGCTGCCCACTGTCCTCCTGGGGTAGCAAGATGAATAAATCAGAGAATATGAAACACTGGGTTACTGTATGGAGAATGTACATGTGCCAGTGGGAGTCTGGGGGGAGGGGTTTAGGACAGGGAAGGAGAGCTGCAGGAGGAGGGGGTGTTGTCCTTCTCTAGATTTCTACCTCTGAAGCTCTAAGTGCAGCACCCGAGTACTTCTACAGAACCCTGTCCTGGTGCAGCTCCCCTGTATGAACGCAGCTCCCTGTGTCCTCAGCTCACCTTCTGTCGTCTTCATTAAACATTTGCTGACATCAGCAGACTCCCTCAGGTGCCCTGGTGGATCCTGCAGGTGCCCTGGTGGATCCTGCAGGTGTCCTGGTGGATCCTGCAGGTGTCCTGGTGGATCCTGCAGGTGTCCTGGTGGATCTTGCAGGTGTCCTGGTGGATCCTGCAGGTGTCCTGGTGGATCCTGCAGGTGTCCTGGTGGATCTTGCAGGTGTCCTGGTGGATCCTGCAGGTGTCCTGGTGGATCCTGCAGGTGTCCTGGTGGATCCTTCAGGTCTCGTGGAGTCTCTTCCTGCTTCACAGCAGCCAGCTCCACCATCTTCAGGATTTTATCTACAGCTTCGACACACATACCGTCCACCAGACTGCTGAGTTTCTCCTGAAAGAACAGACACAGACACAGATGAGCAACTGTTGCTGGTTGTCATCATCAAACTGTTTAAATATGTGGACCTGTGAGGCTGTTGACTGTGTGAAGACCAGGTCAGACTCTAATAACCCTTTATTCTTCGCTGGTGAAATTAAACAGAGCAGATTTTGTCATTATTACATTTTCATGTGGGGCTGCCACTGTGGATTATTTTGATTATTTATGGATCTATTAATTAATTAATTTGACCACTAGATTCATTTATTTCATCTATAAAATGTCACAAAACAGGATACATGTCCAACGGGACATCTCCATTTGTCTTCAGATGTCTTATTCTATCCAACAAACAGACAATATTATTTTATACATTAACACAATAATATTAATGATCACATAAAACATTTTTGGAGAGAAAACACCCACACAATGATTAGACAACTTTGACCTGAACTATTAATGACCCATCATAATCTTTGTTCACTTAATATGATGTCAGCAGACTAACCGATCAGCAAGTGCACATGTCTAACTAAACCTCACTCATTTTAATAAACTGCAACCTGTACAGGTGAGCAGACACCTGGAACCACACAGACACATGCTCGATGAAGCGTCGAGTCCCGTTAACTGTCTGTAACTTGCTCTGAAGTACAAGCTGAAAGTACTTGTACTTCACTTGAGCACTTTTATGTACTGTTGCTGTATACCTGTGCTCTGCTTCATACTGCTGCATTAAAGGATGTGAAACCTCCTCCTCCTCCTCCTCCTGTGGGAGCACCTTCACACACATGCCGAACTGTAGCAGGGCTGTTACTGTTGTTGTCACCGCGGTGTCAGATTCATAAACCATGTTCAACTTTTATTTTAACGCCTCAAAGTCTAAATTCATTGTTAATGTGTTGCGCTGCGGTAAACAGTGTTCTTCACTTAGCTAACAAACTCAAAATGCTAAAATTAGAAGCCTTTCCGATGAAGTTTGGTGAAATTATTTGAGGATTATTAGAACAAAGTCAATCTCTTTTCTATCATGTGCTCAGTTAACTTGACTCCACCATTCAAACTCCTCCTGTCGTTACACCGGAAATCCCTGGAACCGAAAGAGTTAAGGTAAAGTTAGCCGTTAGCCACAGTTAGCAGCAGGTAGCTTACCTCGGTTTCGGGGTTTTGTTTGTTCAGAGAGAGTTTCTCCGCCGCGGTAAATATCACCGTCATCATCGCCTTGGCCAGACTGTTCACGATCAGCGTCACTTCACTTTTAAAAGTGGTTAAATCGGCCATGTTTAAGAATTCCAGCACTTAGCAGGCCGCTAGCTTAGCAAACACACGGCTAATGCCGCAAATGCGGATAAAGGAAGTGACGTAGATGTCCTCTCCAACGGCTAATTATATATATATATATATATATATATATATATATATAGACTGTTGTTGAATTCAAGATAATGATTTTGTTTATTGTCTTTCACTGAAAAACAATTTGAATTAAATTAATTCAAATGAATCGTTTGTTATTAAGAAATGATAAACCTTTATTGATGCTTGGTGCAGCAGCACAAACAATGTCACAAAGACTGATGATTATAAACTGAAAATAAATAAATAAGAATATAAAACTAGAAATTGGAATGAAATACGAAATAGAAACTATAAAAGAGACAGGAGTGTGATTAATGATGAATAAACTGAAAAACAAATCACAACTTATTAACATAATATATTATAACATGGTAGATTATGTGGAATATGGGTATAATATAGTAAAGTGTATAATATATGAGGAGGTATTGATCCTTGAACATACGACACACTTTAATTTGCAATTTCAAGAATATTTTTGCAAAGTAATGATGAGTGGAGAATTAAGTATTTTGGAGAGATATCTTCAAACATTACAAATGTTTTAACGTTGAACTCTTTTAATATGGAAGTCTGTGGGTGCCAAAATTAAAACAAAATAATTCAACCCAATGCAATTAAATTTGTGGGCACATAGTTTATGATGAAACAAAAATACAAAATCTGTTTGTATAATTGCACCAATTTGTTGATCAACTATTAAAACATTTCACTGGATTAAAATAACTGAAAAAAGACAACTGGGTTCAAATTTAAAAATCCAGTTTATCGGTTCATTCAAGTTTAGGATTCATATTTTGTTTGACGATCATCAAATGAAAAGTTCAACAATAAATGTCTTTAAACTTTTGGCAGAATGATAATTCTGTTTTCGTGTTAATTGTCATTCATGAACATTTTTGCCCAGATTGTGCATTTTCAAACATGAAATTGCATTTAAAAATTAGATAGCCTCATAATTATGCTCTTGTATTTTTTTCCAGGAATTCTCTAAAAACTGTGTTTTATGGACATGAAGCTGTGACACGTGGCCTATCATAATGTTAGTGCTCATTAATTCTAATTCTTAATTCAAATTAAATGAAACCATTCAGTGTTTGAGTCAAATAAAAATAAATAAAAAAATCCCAATGATTCAAAAAATACTTTGTTTTTTATTCACCGACCTGCCAAACCTGCTGCTGTACAGACATATGATAATAATAATAATAATAATAATAATAATAATGATAAACAAACTTTTTCAAATATTACTTTTAGATTACATTCATTCATAGAACCTGAGTCAGGCTCATCAGTGCTCGTCAGACAAAATATAAAACACAACAGGATTAAAACATTAAATAACTTCTTATTTTCCAAAAGAGAAACACAGATATGAAACACACTCTCAGCACAGTACAATACTAAACACACACACACACACACACACAAGATATTTACACCCTCCTTCAGTTCACGCGTCTTTTAGAAAAGACTCTCAGTCCCATTCCTCTACGTTGGTTTCTCTGTGGCGGCGACAGTAGTGGCAATGGTGGTAGCGATGGCAGCAGCGTCCACGTTAGCATGTTTCATCCCGGGAGCACAGACAGTTCACTGACAGAATTTGTTTCACTTTTTTTTAACACAATACATAACATTTATTTTGTGACTAAAATTAGCACTTTAAGATTAGGCTACATTTCCATGCATGCTAACTCTTTATTAACATCCTAAAATAGTAGCTCTGTTATATTTTTATCATACCAGTAAACATTTGTATATTACTTAAAGGCTAATATTATAGCATGCTAAGCTTTATTAGCATGTCAAAATGGTAGCGCTCTCATGTTACATATTATGGTACCTCTAAACTTTATGAGTATAACAAAATACTACCTAAAGGTTGTCATTATAGCATGCTAACCTTTATTAGCATGTCAAAATAGCGCTGTTATATTTTATGATTTTAGTAAACATTTGTATATTACCTTAATGCTAATATTGTAGCATGCTAATAAATAGTAGTACTATAAAGTTAAATTTAATGGCACCAGTAAACTTGATCAGTATGATGAAATATAACCTTGAAGCTAATATTTTAGCATGCTAACACACATTCAGAACTTCCCCCTAAAAACTTAACGTAATGATAAATTGCAAAGCAACAAGTGATGTAATGGCTGTTCTCTGATTGGCTCTTCATGTGGTCCCTGAAAGAAGAGCCAATCAGATCTCTGTGCTCCCGCCGCCATCATCAGATGGTCACCACAGCTTCAGTCTGTATACATTTGATTGGTCCGACCTTCAGCTGCGTTCGTCTGATTCGCCGCCGCTCTGCCGCCGTGGTGAGGAGGCGGGCCTTATGGAGCCCCCGGCCTCCTCCTGTTGCTGCTGCTGTTTGGAGGAGCTGGACAGGTCAATGGCCACCTCATCCTCCATCTCCTCGTCTTCCTCCATCTCCAGTAGCTCCTCCTCCTCCTCCTCCCTCACCTCGCCGCCACCCCGACGCTCTGAGGCGTCGCAGAACGAGTCTGATTGTGTCGAGTCAGACTCCCGAGGGCTGGGACACTTTTTGGACATCTCTAGAGACTTCTTGTGCATTCCTGTGAGGACAGAGACGGAGACACAGATTCAGTCCAGTCTGCGCACGTCACATGTGTTATTAACATGAACAGGAAGTACTGAATAAACACTTTGTTTACATGTGTCATTCATGTCTAAATGACTCACACCTCTGTTGTGTCTCTGTTGTGTCCCTGTTGTGTCCCTGTTGTGTCTCTGTTGTGTCCCTGTTGTGTCTCTGTTGTGTCCGTGTTGTGTCCGTGTTGTGTCCGTGCTGTGCTCAGTGTGTATAAACCCTGTGTAATGATGTGTGGTGTGGTGTGGTGCGTGTGCGTGGCACTGACGTGCATGCGGCTCACCGAGCAGCCAGGGGGCGCACGATCCCATCATGCCGTTCTTGGCAGAATTGAGGATGGACTCTGGCAGCGGGATTGAGTGTCGCACCATCGCTCCGTACAGACCATACTCCGCCATGACGCTGCTGCGACCCCAACACTTCTCACGCTTTCGCCACTTCGCACGCCGGTTCTGGAACCACACCTGGAAAACAAGACGACAAAATAACCAAAAATTAAAACTGCACCTAAAAAACAATCTGATAAAACACATAAAACTTTAAAAATGCACCTGGAAAAGTGCACGACCAACTACAGAGGTGTTTTAGTCACACAGATATTTCAGAGGACGTTTTACGTGGCGCTGTACGGAGGAGTATGAGGGTCAATATGAAGATTAGTAAATAATGTGTTTGTTTGAACAGATGAAATCTGTGCACAAATTAGATCCGTAACATTTAAGTTATAAAATAAATTTGAAGTTGTTTAAAATGTACTTTTGTTTTTTTTCTCTTGACTTTGGAAAAAGTAAATGTCAGTTTGTACTCAGCTCCATCTGCTGATGATGAAGACCATGACATGTGGCTGAAAGCTCCAGAAAGAAACAAGTGGTCCTTTTTTCTGACTCAATAAACATGTTACGACCCTCTGAGGGTCCTGAGCCTCATGTTGGACACCAGCATTCAGCAGCATGTCATCAAAATGTATATTAAATAAAATAATAATATAATATAATAAGAGCATATTAATAAATATTTGTAGTAGACAGTTTAATTATCTGATAATTAATTTTGTACAAATTCTTTCTCAGTTAAAACAATGAATCTGTTATAATTCAGTTTGTGTATTTTTTTATTTGTTTATTTGTTTCACTTATCGGCCCCTCTGTGTCTGAAGGGTGAATGTCAGCTGCTGATCAGTGATGGATCAGTGTGTTGATGATGTCCCACCTGTATCCTGTCCTCAGGCAGCTCCGTCTTCATGGCCAACATCTCCCGCGCGTAGACGTCAGGATAATGAGCCTCATGGAAAGCTTTCTCCAGCTCCTCCAGCTGGTGGGACGTGAACACTGTCCTGGAAGAAACAGCACCAGGGTCAGACACACAGACAGGCACACAGACAGACAGGCACACAGACACACAGACAGACACACAGACAGACAGACACACAGACAGACACACAGACAGGCACACAGACAGGCACACAGACACACAGACAGGCACACAGACAGACACACAGACAGACACACAGGCACACAGACACACAGACAGGCACACAGACACACAGACAG